AGACAACTAACTACGCATAAGCGAGGATGACGACGCAGGATATGCGCTTCAATCGCGTTAAGCTGGGCCTGAAAATATAGGGGGAAAGTGGTTGGAAAAGGGGGGAAAGTGGGAGAAAAGAGAAAGCCGGCGGCTCACAATTGAGAGCTGAACGCAGCTGATAAACTTGGAGTGCCCACAATGCGGAAAATGTGGGAAAGGTGATGGGAATAATTCTCAAGGACACAGTCGTGTTTGTATGTATTCGGCCTACGCATATTTGAGTTCCATTTCTCTCTCTCACTCTCTGTACATCCCACTCTTTCTTCCGGTCTGGCGCAGACGGTGGCGTATACGTAACGTGTTTGTATTTGGGGAGGCCCAACAAAATAAAGCATACGCAACGTGTTTCCTTCGTCGCTGTTGATGACGTTAAATTTTCGGTATTCGGGCCGAATTCATCGAAAGTTATGCCACAAAAATGCGTTCTTGCCTCCTAAACAAATACCACGTGGCCTCACTCGAAAAAAAAGGATCCTAGATATTTTCGCACGCATGTGTATGTGCGTTTGTGTATTTTGAGCCTTGCTATTTATTTTAATATGCCCCGAAAATAAATGACAACATAAGAAATGTGTTTGATGACAGCTTAAGATATTTATGCGCATTTATGCTAAACTGTTTGATTTCAATTTTCCTGGAAAACTTTTCTCTGGGGGAAAATGGTTTTTTGGTTAAAATAGAACTTCGGCGTTTTCCGCATACTTATATATGTGCTTATGATTTACTTAGTAGTATCTACACATTTGAATAAATTTTAGAAATTACCAATTGCTCAATTTATATGCTAATGGGTCAAATAACCTTTTGCATTAGCATTTAAATTGTATTACCAATTAAAGCGGAATTAAGTGAAATGAAGAAATGAACTACTTAAAACATATTTATAGCTAACAATTAAAATTATTTCTATGTTTTAAAAAACGTATTATTTATTTGATGAACCACAACAGGTCGTCGAAAATGATTTTGTAGAACCACGACAATAATTTAAATTCCTTTCCCGACATTTTGTTCAAAACTCCTCAAAGTCTTGAAGCACTCTGAATATGGCTGTATATTGTACATCCAGACATTCGATTGCTGCAGCCGGCAGAAGCGGCAGCAGCAAAACAAGGGCAAACAATAAAATAAACAAACAAACAAACACGCAACGTGGCAGACGCACACATGACAGACAAGAATGGTCGACAACTGGGGCTGGGGTTGGGGAATCGGGAATCGGAAAGTGAGGGGGGAAATCCTCTAGACAGCCAGACCTGCATTAAATAAATATGTGCGTAATAAAAGGCAAATAAAAAACGAAGGAACGCCGGGCTGAAAAGAGCAAACCAATTGAAGTGTGTCGCGCCAATCGAGCCACAGCACACACAACAATTGCAATTTGTATTAATTTTATTGGTTTATTATTATCATCGGCGACGTGGCCATCAGACAGTGTTTAAACGTTGCTCGATTGAAAGCGAGTTAATTTCGTTTACTGATTTGTGGGTAGCCGTCGTCGGTGGTTGAAGGGAATGCGCTGGTGGAGATCTGGGCTTCCTGTAATCCAGATTCCCATTCATCGACCCGACTCTGGGTCGTAATCAGCGCTGTTCGTTCGATGAACTGCATTTGCCCTGCGGTTGCGATAACGCACTGTCGCAACCAAATTTCAAATGGCAATGCGCACGTGTCGCCGTTTTTCTACGGAACACCATAGGAATGTCTGTCTGCAGTCACTCACTTATAGCCAAAGTTTATCTTTGCCACTATCTTGTACAACTTAGATGTAAATAAAATTAAATGCACACTTTCCTTGGAATTGCGCTTTTAAGTAGCCAACAAGAATGACTAAGCCATACAAATCGTAAATCAATTAATTATTATTTACGATTTATTTATAAAGCCATTTCAATAATTTTCATAGAACTATATGATAGCTATGGGTAAATGTGAAATGTGTAATTTAAAATAAATTAATCAAGTGCTTAACGTCACATATGTCAAGTAATTTAAAATTAATATACACTAGCTAGTTATCCAATGTGTTTATATCATATGTACATACATAATTTTTAAATAATACTATGTATTTTTAGTGCAATACTTTTAATAATTTCCAAAAAAGCAAAATATAATTATTCTTTAGCAAAACTTGGAAATTTATCGCTTTGAGTATATTAACTTTAATTTACGTATTTATTTGGCTGTGTTAATTAGTCATTTTATCACTAATAATATCACTGTGCTACACCAAAAATGTACCTTGATGAAAGAATATTTGACGAGCAGAAATGGATCAACAAGAAATGTATACTTTTTTATATGTGAAAAATACAAAGACATAGTAAGTTTAACTTACTTATAAGAAATACTAAGTTTATCTTGTTTGCCAATATAATGCAATACAATGTTGTTATAACAATGCTGTTGACCCTGCTGCATATCGGTGTGCTCCCCCAAGTGATTTCATGAAAGTGCCAGCCAGCCGGTTATGATATGGCCAGTCCATGCCAAGGGCATGCGAATACATTCCCGCTGACTCAAGTTAGTCGCACCAGATCGACCTCCCCCATTATCCCACAGCCGCCCCCCCGATGTCCGGCGTTATCGTCTGGCCATTCCCATTCCCGTTCCCGTTTCCATTCGCGTTCCCGATCCCTTTCCCGATCTTATTCCCATTCCAGATCGTTGCTCCGCACTGCGTTCATTGAACGCACTTTCGGCTCTCGACGCACGCGTCGTTAACAAAAAAATGTAAGGAAAAAAATAAGGGAAAAGAAGCTCTGTCTCCGGATACTTGGCCTGTGTATACGCGTGCATAATACAATAATAATTTCGTTTTACAAAATGAACAAAAAGCGAGGGGGAAAAAAAAGAAGTACACAAAATAAGCGCAGCCAATGGCCGCGGAAAAAAGGAGGTGGACAAGGAGGTGTTGGAGGAGCAGAAGAAACTTGCCCAGACAGCGATCCCAATCCCGATCAATGCACCTTTGCCAAAGGTGCAACGCCTCGAAAAGTCGGCTCTTTATATTCCAGTACGAGTATATGGCATATACACACACATGTACATATAGTTTGGGTGCCTGTGTGAGTTGTCTGGGCATGCAGTGACGCACGAAACGCGATCACGTTCGCATTTATTAAAAGATGGTTGCTGTTGCACCGGCGACTGGATGCGATTGGATTGGATTGGATGGACTGGGATGGGTTGGGATGGAATGGCATGGAATGGCTTAAGGTTGAGTCGGGTTGGGTAGTCTTGCGCCAGCGAGGTCTCGAACTCGGACTGCCACTAAAACTGCGACTGCTGCTGCAGACAGATGTGGGTAACATTTGCTAGGCAAGGCAACAGAAAATGGGCATTCAAATGAAATGCAATGGCTGGAAAACGAAGCAATAAGTACACTACCAGACTTTTCATTTCGAATACTTAGCAATATTTTAACTGCCTCTTTATATAATTTTAAAGTTAAAGTAAATAGAGATCACATATTGATATTATAAATAACTGGCTTTTAGTACATAAGCTCTTTCGACTACGTTTCACGAAAAAGTTAACGATATTATAAGGAAATAAAATTTTATACATTTTTTGCTACTCAAAATTCTAAGAAATTCTATAAAACACTTAAATAAATATGTTTTTCAATACACAATATTTCATTTGAAATTAAATAAGCAGACAAAAATTTCATTCTGCTTACCCAAAAGAATGCACACCACCCTAAAAAATATTAAAAAAAAAAATGTCTCGCATTGTATATAACTATGTTACTTCAGTCATACCCTCCTCGGCAAGGGTATTAAAATCCGGGGAAAGGAGTCAAAAACTTGACCAACATGTGGTTCTGGTGGCTATTTTTAGAATCTGCACTATCTGTGCGACTGACTGGCTGGCCATCTTCCTGCTGCAGTCCATCCACTCGTCCAGATGCAGACTTCAACTTCCCGAACTCGAACTGCACTCCATTTGTTGGACTCCAGAGGGCGTAGAGGAACAGGGGGCAATAGTCGGGGTCTTCTTGGTTCATTAACTGGGACCGAGTTTTAATCAGATTTGTGCGTGAAGTTTGGCACTCACCCGCGGCCACTGGCAGCCCAGCAACAAGAAATGGGTGGGATCCCGGATCCGGGGTATTCTGCAACAATATTTTAATGGGAAACTCTTACAAAACGTCTCCCGAACCAGTTCCAGACAACCAGACATCCAGAAATCCAGACATCTGCGGAAGCGTGGCACTATAAACAATATTCTTTTAATTTCTGTTGCCTCGCGTTCTGGACTCGTCTCGCAGATTTCGCAGCAGACAAATTTATGAGCGTTAAGTGAAGGCCAATAAAATTCTTTTTGTCTGGAGTGTATATTTGTGGCCGGGACTGCTGCTACCTCTTCTGGCCAGTTTATTTCCATATCCAACTTCTCGGCCAGGCCTCACTTAAGTCATCTCTTCGGCGGGCACATTAATTTCACGGGTTCTCTTTCGCTTTTGTCTGGCCTGTCTTTTTGTTTGATTTGTTTTCTTCCCCGGTTAGAGCAAAAAATATGTAAATCAAAAAATCTGGCAGAAACGAGTCTGTCTCTTTTCTTTTTAGGATATATTGAAATCAATCGATTTATCCGGCTTAAGAATATTTTTTAACTATATAATTTCGTTTGCTTTGGATTAACCTAATCTATTAATTTAATTAAAAACTTACCAAATATATAGGTATTCTCCAATGGTTTACATTTTTGTTAAACGCACAACGTTTTGATATGTGATTTTCAGTAATAAAGAATAAAGTTACACAAAAGAGAACATTCGTTGACCACTGAAGTGTAGTCATAACATTTTAATACAGTTTCGATTGTTATTAAGAGTAATAGACGAGATATAATTAAAATGTTTAAATGCCATGAAATATACATATATGGAAAAGCAACAGCAAAAGCTTTGAACAAATGTCAAGTTTCAGTTCCCAAAATAACGTAAGATGTGGAAGATCTGGATGATTTTAACCTGCTTGGCTAGAGTAAGCAACTTCGTATTAAATTGTGACCCTTTAAGGACAATTTGTTTAGTGCTCTATAGCTCATGTCAGCTTCACCAATCTGAAGTGCGATATGATCGACAGAAAATTTGGAAGCTTTGAAATATGTCACATAAAAGCAGTGAATCGAACGCATAAATACATAAATGTTCATGTGAAGCTAAATATACTACCAATTAATAATATGATGGTAAGTGTGCTTAATTAAGAGGTTGAGCAGCTTACTTTTCTGTAATTTTCAGATCAAATTAGAAGCAATGCGATACGACAATGGATATAGACCGTTTTTTATGGCCATGAATTTCGACTTTTGCAAGTATATGAAGAATCCAAGGCAAAGATCAATGATATTTTTGAAAGAAATACATTCCACGTTCATCAATGCTTCAAACTTAAATCATACTTGTCCTTACAATGTGAGTATATATATATTGGAGTTTTGTTTCCTAATAAAACCATGTCCAATTTAGAATGATGTTTTGATTGACAAATTTTGGACTGGCAATCTTGAAAATGCGTTCTTAGGATTACTTCCCGTACCCAATGGAGATTATGCCATCTACTCATCGTGGTATACTTCAAAAATTCTTCGCTTGACAGTCAATATTTACTTCAAAATAACAAACTGAAATACTTTTTTTACGGATAAGCAATTAGGCGTATGTTTTAGGCGTGTGTTTTATTTTTATTGTGTTTTTCTTTATTTTAAAGTCTCGATTTTGGCCACGCATCGAATTCAATTTATTTACTAAGAAAACCGTACTTATTTGAGGCTTCTATTTATTACATTTAGTTAACCCAAAGACGTATTTCTCATGCCTGTTACTTTTTACTAAAATATTTATAATAAGCACAATTTTACCTCTATTTTTATTATTTGATTTTTGTTAATCAAAAATCAGTTAAATGACATAATTGACTTTATAATTATCAATCTACCTGCTCATTATTTAAAGCCTCGTTTGTTCAAGTCATTCAACCAAAATAATCACATTATTAACTTTCAATCCGACTGGTGAAGATCACAATGCGAACGTTTCTTAATATATTTACTATTTTGGGATATCTAATGGTAAAACTCAGGGCAGATTAAAGTGAAGGTAAATTAAGCTATTTCTACCGCCTAGCCGACTCTTAGCCATGTGACTTTCACAAATCTAAAGTGCGGTACAATGGACCGGAATTATCTTACATTCGAAAAATGCCACATCAAAGCGGTGAATCGTACACATAAATACATCGACATTCATATCAATCTGCTTAAAAAACCGGTGGAAAATATCACAGTAAGTTCAACAAATTTTAAAAAGATGAGAGCTTGTGTTGCTAACGTTTTGCAGGTTACCGCGAAGTTCATGCGGCACGATCATGGGTACAAACCATTTTTCGTAGACCTTACCTTTAACGGTTGCCAGTTCCTCAAAAACCAACGGCAACCGATTGTGAAACTGTTTTATGAAATATACAAGAACAGTTCCAACATTAATCACACATGCCCCTTCGATGTAAGTTGCTCCATTTAGAATTGATTGATACCAACAAAAAACATATATTTCCTAGCACGACATAATTTTGGATCATCTTTGGACTGGAAATATAGAATCGGGTCTCTTGAAATTTGTCCCTATGGTCAATGGCGATTATGCTATTTTTTCCGAATGGTCTACATATAATATTGCTCGGGCGTTTATAAATATGTACATCAGAATATCGGATAGGCAAACATTATAATCATATGCTTATTGAAATTAATATTAAAATGTTCTCGAATTTTGTATTACACGTATTTTTTAAAAATACACATACAATTTACATTTTAAAAAGGTTTTTTAAATGAATCCGACATTAATACAGTTGACCTTTTTATTTTCTAATCTTTGGGTATATTTTTTGTCAGTGAACTGATACAATATTAATATATCGTTAGCAAAACAACATTCTTCGATAAATATCTCTTAAATTGGTCTGACCATTATGTGAATACACATTTGTTCAAACCATTCAACCAAAAAATAACATATTGTACGCTTCGATTTCAACTGGTGAAGACCACCATGCGAATATTTCTTTATATATTAACTCTTTTGGGGTATTTCTCGGTAATACTCTGTGGAACTTCAATTGTGGGCAAATAAACATATTTTTCATATCTAGACGATTCTCACCCATGTGACGTTTACCAATCTGAAGTGCAGCTCAAAAGACACAAAGTTCCTTAATTTCAAAAAATGTTACATCAAGGCGGTAAACCGCTCTCACAAGTACGTCGATGTTCATATAAGCCTGTACCAGATTCCAGTAACAAATGTCACAGTAAGTTAGAAAATAGTTCGGAAAACTCTTGATCTTTAAGTTGCTGATATTTTGCAGCTAAAACTGAAGTTAATGCGTCATGATCATGGGTACAAACCATTTTTCGTAGACGTCACCTACGATGCCTGCAAGTTCCTTAAAAACCTAAGGAATCCGGTATTAAAATTATTTTACGAAAGTTACAAGAATAGTTCCAATATCAACCACACGTGTCCATATGAGGTAAGTAAATCTACTATAAATTGACCTTAACATTCTAACAATAATGTATTTAAGCATGACCTAATCGTGGACCATCTGTGGACTGGAAACATGGATTCGGATTTCTCGAAATATATCCCCATAATGAATGGTGATTATGCCATTTTTACCGAATGGTCCGCATACAATATTGTTCGCGCGGTTATAAATCTGTACATCAGAATATCGAATAGCCAATACTAGAATGTAATGAGTAAATTGTATAAATATTTTTAATTTATATTTTTGTTTATGCTTATATTTTTTTGTTAACCAAAAGCAAATATAAGTTAATGCTTTTGACTGAATGTAAAAGCAATTTATTAAACATAAAAACATCTCCTTTTAAAGGAGTTTTATTAAATACCATGAAATTACAATAAGGAGTTAGTAATTAAAGATTTTGATGTTTCTTATTTTTTTTTTTTTGGAAACAAGGAACTTTCCAGGAGCATCACACAAAATAATTCATCAAAAAAACGTGCGTAAGAGAGGAGGTGGGTCAGTCCATTAATAATAAATTAAACATATTCCCTGGCATGCCTTTGCCAGCCCCGGCGACACGAACTCCCTTTTTTCGGCTGGTTCTTTGGGTTCTGGAATGGTTTTTGTGTGCCCTCCTCCTCGCTGTTGGTGTTTTTGTTCCTCTAATGACCTAGAATACAAATTCAGGCTACCTCCATTCCCCACTCGCCGATGAGCGAAGTCCCAGGGCTATCAAGGCTGCCAAGTCATCCACAGCCAGTCACTGAAACGGAAGCTAATCGCTTGACTAAGTTCCTTAGTTCCCAGTCCGCAGGCTGACCCAATCTTTATCGGATTGCGTAATATGTATAGCGGGAGTCAATAAATTAGCACCACTTTAGAGATTTCGGGTTTCTTAATGTAAAAAAACGAAAATATTTATTTAGATTTGTTTATATTTAAGCCCCTGTTTTAGCATTTAAATCGTTGCCATCTTTGATTTGCCATTAATTTTTTCATAAATCATAATTAGCATAAATTGACTAATGTATTTATAAAAATATGTGTGCTTCTTTAACATTCAAAGACTTATGGGTTATAAAAATATATGTTCTACCATGAACCAAAATTTAGTTTAATGAAAGTATCTAAAATTCAATTCACTAATTTAATTATATTTTCTCAATTCTATAATATGCATGTTATCTAAGCTTGTTTTTGTTTTTAATTAAATCTATTTAGATATACATTTCAAAAATAAATAAATAAATAATATAAATTCTGAGAGCTATTCGTCTGACCACAATTGTACACATGTAGACATGGCAGATGCCGACGGTCAAGGTGGAAGCTTTGTGGCTTCGACTGTTTGTCTGTCGGATTATAAATGATTTGCCATTAATTCTACACAAATGCCAGGGGCAGGCAGACAGAAAGCAGACCGGGAGAACGTTAACATTCGGCATTGGGCAGGCAGGTAGTCGGGCAGTCAGACAGAAGTGAATAATCAATATCATTTGATTACATTGATAACGCTTTTCTGTGGCTTTGTTCACTTTATCGCGCTGCGATTCCGATATCCAAATGCTTTCGTCACTGGCGGCATTGCCAAATGTCTAGACGATTCCTCCATAAATGTATTATTGCCTCATTTTGCTTTTGCTTTCTATACGCTACACTAAGTCGAAAGCAAATATTGCGGGTATAACGACTGTAGAATGCGAAATGGTATAAAATGTTGACATAACTAAGATATAAATAAACTAAGTTCGCAGAAATTAGAAAGGAGTTTCTTACCCTACCCTTTGGGCTTACAACTTTGGATTCAGTTAAATTTATCCCTACTTTAATTAAAATCAAATATACATTTTAGGTAGAAGATTGTAATAATTATTTTGTTTTTGGAAAAAGTTAATTTATTTGTTTAATGCATTCTTTGGTGTTTAATATTTTAAGATTATTAAATATTGTTATTATTTGTAAACAAATTCAAAATCATAATGTTATTATATTTTGTATTTTTTTATCTATTAAATCCCATCTACTTTTTTTAATATATAGTATTAATTGCAAATTAAGTTAGAGTACCTAAGTTTTGCCTTGCTCAGACCTCAATTTCTTAGCATTGTTTTTGGCGCAAGATTTGTTTTTTTTTCGGCTGGTGATTTGAATATTATTGAACGTCTGGCTGACGTCGCAACGTCAGAGCTCTGACGTGAATCGATACGAATTTGCCCCGTGCCCAATAGCCTATACCAGTACCGATACCCAAGACCAAAGGCGGGCCAAACAATGCAGCTGAAGTCGAAGGAAGCCGCAGATGATCAGAGGCCTCGAATGCCGCTGGCGACAGTTGCAGTCGATGTCGATGCGAAAAAAGGGTGTGCAAGTGGTCAGGATGTGTATGTGTAAGTGTGTGTGTGTCTCCTTTTCCCCTGCGATAATAAAGACAAACAATTTTTTTGTACTGCATATTAAACCGATGAAATGAAGCGCAAACTGATTGTGCTCGTTTTCTGGTGGTGGGGTTATGGTCAAAACGATTTGCTGGACATGGCATTAAGGGGAGTTCCCCGGCCCCCCTCCCCGCCTCTGCGATCCATCCGCATGATCCTCGTCGAGTCCATTCCCACCTTTCACATGTAAGTGCAGCCCAAGGCGGCAAACTACAAAAGCCGCCGACCGACGACAGACGACAGACGACGACGACAACGTTTTGAGTATCTGCCGCTCCGCCACAGCCACTGATAACAACTGGAGCGGCAAATCAAGAGGGCAGATTACTCAGCTAAGATGGAGATTTTCATACACTCTTTTTTCAAATATAAATAAATAATAAAAAGAAAAAAAAATTCAATGGATGAATATTTTAGCATCTTCAATTTATATTTTTCATTTCAATACTTTTAGAGCATGCATTTCTCATTCTTCATATTTCCACATTAACAACCAAAATGGGAACTAAAACAAGTTAAAAGTTAAAAACAAACAAAGTTAATAACAAGAGAACGCATTAACCCTCTTAGTTTTCTGGATCAATATTTTTTGAATATATATCCGTAAATCCGCGTTTAAATTTAGCTTATAAACGTAGATTTCTCCGTTACGGACAGGACTTAAATTTAATTCCCTCATTGAAACAAGACAATAACAAGGACATATTTTGTAAAAAGATAAATTTGTAATATCTGTATAGGCAATAAAAAGTTTGTCCACAAGTTCATTGTTTCTGTAACCAGTACATCACATTTCAAAGTGGTGTTTATGGTGTTTATTTATTTATGACTCCTAAGATTTTTTTGTGTGAAGCCCTTGAAAATGTCTATTTTTTCCATGTTGTTTCCATTGACATTTAATGAATCAGAATTACTTGTTCTTGTGTCTTTGTTAAATCTTGAGTTTCAGAAATCCATTTTAATATTAAGATAAAATAAATTGAGAAGCAACTTACTTGACTTACTTCTTAGCAAGTCTCACCATTTATTTTGCTAACTCCTTTGAAGGGCATAATGAAAACCTCACATATAAGGTGGGGAAGGGTGGCAGGGGTGGGGGAAAGGTGAGGGGAGGGGGTCAGGTAACTGCAGCGGTGGCGGCGTCATCAAGAGATTGGCCCAGGGAACTGACACACGCACCGAATGTCGCCTTTCGGCTTTTGAAGTTGCTTATTTTGTTGCAGTTGTTGGTTTTTTTTCGGCCCGAGAAGTTTCGGATTGCAAAAGAGTCAGGCAAATGAGATGGTCCGCCTCCTGCCGCCTCCTCCCGCCCCCTTCTGCCGCCCGTCTCAGGTGTGTGTTAATTGCATTAAAATGTTTGTAATTGCAATGCAGTCAGCCTGCCTTTCTCTTATCTGCGGGAATCTGGGATAGAAGTCGGGGCCTATGAGAGTGCCCAGGAATATATAAACAGTGGTAACAACGGGAGGGGGCCGACACGGCAGACATGCCAAGCTGTCGTCGGCCCACAAATGCCATAGATGCCGCCAAAGTCGTGTAACTATAATTGCCATAATAACATAATATCTCGAGGCAGCAGCAGCAGCTGCAACAACACAAGCTACCGACCGAAAGGTGTCGAGAGACATATTCTCCTAGACTTATTCGCCGCTCCACCCAAAAAAAGGCATCAGAATGCCGGAATGACGAGCGGACAGCACCAGACAATTGTCCCTGTCTCGGTCACAAGCCCCTATTCCCTATTCCCGATCCCCGATCCCTGGACTGTCGGCTTTGGGTCTTGTTCTCGAGGCTGTGGAGGTGACATTTTTCTCATGCCCAACGAAGCGAATAGCTAAATGCAGCTGATG